GCTCGCAACTTAGCAGTAAGCTACACCGACTATCTCCACAACGCTGGCGTTACTGCCTGCCGGGGCGCAGATTCGGCGGTAGCGGAGTATGCGAACAAAATGCGAGGTTTAGCGCGTGTCAATCTCAAGGCCTGGCGGGAGCTTGAAGAGGTTTGCGGCAGCCCGTCGCATTGTCTTGTAAAGCGATATGCGGAAGTCTCAGCCCTTCTCAAGACATCTGATCCTCGTGATGTGGTGGAGGTGAGCGCCAACGAAGCGTTTAAGGCCGTCAATACTAAGCTGGATGGCTCCGGATGGCTTGGCCGTAGTGAGCCGGTCTGGACTAACGTAGAAACCGAACTGCTAAAGCTGCGGATGATCGACCGCACACTATCCGCTGCCAGGGGCATGCGCCTTGCTGCAGCGAACCAGCGCTTCACGCAAGCAGCCGCAGTTGTTGAGCGATCTGAAGCTGAACTTGCAAATGCCAACCACAGACTCGCAGCAAATACGATCTCGGAAAACGATGCGGCAATCAGCGCTGTTGCAAACGCTCTTCCAACTAATGCGGACCAAATCGTTGCACAGATTAACCTAGCTATAGAGGGCGACTCAAGCCGACTGAATGATGGCGAGGCATTGAAGCGAAGATTGTCAGGTCTTTGGAGCCGCGGCGCAGAAATAAGCAATGCCGCTCGCCAAAGTACCCTGTCGCTTCAAGCAGCAGAGCAACGACGGATTGACGAAATGAACAAGAAGCCTCCACCTCCCGTTATCCCCATCGAGCATTGCGGCGGCGGAGGCAGTCGGTTCTGCAACGGCCACTAAAGTTGCGCAGCCCCGCATGTAGTTGGATTGTGGGATGAGCTCCTCGGAGGCACGTCGCCAGGTTGTAGGCTGCTCCACCCAACTGGCTCATCATGCGGTCTGGCGACAATGAAGTAAATGACATCACCATGCGTTGGCCAATACAACGCACGGTTGGTGCACTTCTATGCAGCCTGGGACACGAACCGCTGCCTGGGTTGGCTAAACAATTGGAGGTAGAAGATGATCCGAAAGCGCATATCCGCCATGTCGCAGGCCTTATGTCTTGCTCTGGCGTGCGCGATACCATTTCAGGACGCGCATGCCCTTCTGGGCATTCTTTACGGTCGGGCCGATGTGAACGTTAAGACCCACAGCGAAATCATCGCCGGATTGGACGAGCCGACTCGTAAGCTAATCCAAGGGTTCCCGCTGGAGGTACAGACTCAGATTGTGGAGCTCCTAAAGCAGTCGCTCCCACTCCTCAACAGGAGTGTGAGCGCAATGTTGCAGGATGTCGACACGCGCTTAGAAAGGCGGATCAACCAAGCGGTCTGCAGCGGGCAAGCGCTTGGCCAAGGCATGGCAGACGAGGTTAAAGCGGTTTTCACCGGCTCAACGGTTCATCCGTCAAGTGCGTTGGTTGCCGACTACGATTTGCGCATACAGCGTTTCGAGTCACGCTCGGCTCGATCGATCGCTGCGCGCTATGAAGACTTTCTCCATCGAGCGGCGATAACGGCTTGCAGGGCGGCCGATAATTCTGTCATCGAAAGAGCCAATAACCTGCGTCTTCTTGGACGGGAGAGATGGAGAACATGGACCGAAATCGAAGCTGAGTGCGAAAGCCCCTCGCACTGCTTGGTCAAGCGCCACTCGATTATTGCCGTGCTGCTGAAGACAGCAGACTCTCGCGATCTTGCCGAGGTTGGCGCCGCTCAGTCTTTTGTGGATGTGAAGGCCGAGCTACCGCCCGGAGGCTGGTTGGGCATGGGTAGCCCTGATTGGACGGCCGTCGAGGACGAGCTCCTGAAACTACGTCGAATTGAGCGGGCAGTCTCTGCAGCGGAGGGTATGCGCTTATCTTTGGCTCGCACACGGATGCAAGAGTCTACAAGTACCGTGGCCACTTCGGAGACCGCCATGGCGGCTGCCGAAAACAGGCTTGCTGCCCGAACGATCCCAGAGAACAATGCTGCGGCTAAGGAGTCTAGAGACGCACTTCCAGCAAAACGGGCCGAGCTTGTAGCCAACATAGACCTTGCTGTCCAAGGGGATGCAAGCCTAAAGGACGT